ACGGTTTTTCGGTTTCCTTTGTACACCCCTAATTCCCTAATTTTTTGAATACTTGTTTCCTTTGGTAGCATTTTTTGTAGGTAAAATGCCCAGAGAGGCAAGAAATATCTTAAATATCTTTGGTATTCTTCTGTCACCGGTAATTTTTTTGCTAGGCACTTGGCTGCCCGAGTTTGAGCCGAAGGTTTATAGGAAACATCTTTTTTTATTTTCGTAATATTAGGATAAGATCTGCATACACATTATTCTTTCCCGAGTTGGTGCGTCTCCAACTATCGAACACAATAAAAATAGATGTCATATAGCCAACTCCAACTTATTCGAGACTTGTAACTGTTGTTAATATGGAAAAGACAATACCATACATAATGGAAAGTAGAAAGAAGATTTAAAGAATTTCTACAATTTAATCATTGAATGAAAGAAATAGCAAATTCCAACCTCCAAAAGAATACAAGAGTATGAAATACATGATCAAATCATGCCTACCATTCTCCATCAAAACCAAAAGAAAATTAAAAAAAAAAAAAAAACCGCAATGGAGGCTATACAAATTGCTCAATGAATAATGTAGGTAATGGCCAAAGCAACCAGCATTAGCACATAGGCTATACCTTGGTCAATTGCAACTCCTGCAAAAAGCAAACCAATAATACCACATTAAATAATATTACCAACCTGACTTAAAAAGAACAATTATATTATGATCGCCAAAATGGTACATGTATCTCCTACTTGATGATTTATATATTTATTAGAGCCGAATCCAAGATTTGAAATTTATGGGTTCGGAATTCTAATCCGTTTAAGTCCCTGGGTTCTAAAGTTAATCATTATCCATATAAGATGAATTTCTTAAGATAAATATAAATTTTGGAACAAAGTTATTAGGTTCAGCCGAACCCATATTCTGCATTCTAGCTCCGCCCCATATACACCAAAAAAAATTGATTTTGCCCTATTGCATAGTGTAATTTTGAGATAAAGGGGATTATATTCCTTCCTTACATGTGGCTCCTTCACTGGCCACAGTAACCATCAAGAGATGCGGCAGGCAGGGGCGGAGGTAGGTGGGCGAAAGTGGGTTCAACGGGATGACCGGAATTATTCCATCTTTAACCAGAAGTCTCAAGTTCAGACCTAAAAACGGAGAACTCTAGTATGGAGCGCTTAGCCCCTTAATGTGCCCACTCGTCATGAATCTGAATTAGCTAGGTAGTGAATTAACTTTGAATACTAGATGATTGAACCGAAAAAATATATATAGGTGTGTGTTAAGAAGTGGTACTATTGCTGATAAATCCTAGATCTATTTCTCGAGCCAAGAATTGTTCATACATTATCAAATCTCAAATACACATTTTGGGGGGGTTGAAAAAAATTGGAAGGCTTACCATCACTTGCAGGGGCAGGAGCAGGCTCAGGGACTTGAGCATTGATAGAAGGAATAGCCAATGCCAAAACCAAACCAAAAATAGCCATTAAACAGAGTCTCAAGACCTCCATTTTTCTTCTTTCTTGAGACTTTTTTTTTCTCTACTCTTTTCTATCTCTAAAAATTCTAAGCTATGGTTTACTCCCTAAAAAATTGGTATTTAAAAAGGAGGCAGAGATGAGGGAGTCCTCAATCCCTATTTGCCTTTTTTTTTTAAATTTGATTGTAAAGGATCTCCACTCAGTATCCACTCTGTCAAACTAGATTTCTTCCCTGTTTGGTGAGGACTCAATAAAATTACCTGTTTTTAGCCGTTGATTAAGGGACACGTGTAAGGTTAATATTCACTGCACGTTATGAATACAGATATGACCTCTTCTAATAAATGAAAATTCCTTCCCCACTTGCCAGTTGCAACCATGAAAAACATGATTGCTTGTCTTATTATTCTTTCCCGTTTCTTCATTGTTTCCTTAGATTTTCAAATTTTAAAATGGAATTGGTCGTTGTTTTTTTGACGTTCATGTATCTAACCGTTGTTGGGTTTTTTGGTCACAGCAAATTGGGCACATCTCAAAAATCTGGACTTGAATTCAACCAATAGCAACTCCTAGTTTCGGCCTCCAAAATTGAAGAATTTATCAACACGACAACGTATATTGTAGCGTGACAGTGAAATAACATCTGCCCAATCGAGTCAATAAATACACCATAACACTAGATGGTTAAACCAAAAAAGATAATAAACAATTACAACCGAAAAATTATCAAGACAATAATACATAGGTGAATTAAGAATCATAAAATCTCAAATTCTAACTCTCGAAAGAAGGCAAAAATACTAGGTGATTTTGTCCAAGCCTTGGTGGATAAAATTATTTAGCTAATGAAAAACAACAGACACGCTATGAAACTGGTCGAAGTGTGCGTGAACTAACCTTAAAATCACGGTTATCAAAGAAAAAAATTATATCCTTCCCCTCCACAGCTTGTGACCCAAGTCTCAATCACAAGCCAAAAAACCGTTAACTCCTCAATTAGAAACGACAAAACGTGTAGCTGGATTATAAATGAACATGCCTTTAGAATCTACTTTACATTTCAGATCCTCATTTTACAACTCTGCATCTAATTTTATTTTCTCTAGCCATTTCTTAATTGAATTGAATGAGAAGAAAAATAACCTCAGATTTCTCCCCTTACTTTCTTTTCAACGCAAACAAAGAAAAGAACATAAATTTCTTTACTTTCTCCGACTATATTTTTCCTTTCCCTAGCCCTCTTCCGGGAAAAGGATTAGCCTAATGACAGTATTATGTCCCGGAGGTTTCTGCATATACATTTCAGAAGCTAAACTTTCAACCAAAAAAATTATCTCAATCAGAATAGAAGTCACATATCATAAGTCCTGTTTTCACATCTATGGCTTGATAAAACAATCAGTTCTTTCGCAGCATCAGCATTAATAGGAAATTAAAAGCATAACGAGGATCATCTATCATACCAGATTGAACAGCACAATATTTTCCCTTGTCCTTGAATTCACGCTCAGAGGTCGCCGACAAAGCACATAATGCAATATTATGGCTATTCAGCTGCCCAGACTAAATGCACACACATGGCACTAACTAAATGATAAGTCTGCATATTCGATTTCGATAATGCTTCTCATCATTCAAATTATTAAAGCAAGAACCAACTTCTATACCTCTGGAAAAAATAAACATAGCAAAAGGTCAAAGAACATAACGACAGCATGTCTATCTGGCTTTCAGCCAAATTAAAGCTCATCATTAGTAACAGGAAGAGGAACCACTGCCGGCAACTCAAAGTAGTCGAAGTCATCTGTTATTCCCACCTGTCATAACACAAGGAAAAGACCAATTACACAAGGTAGGGAAAGTTTGTTATTAAACAATGCATCTGCACTTAGATTGTTTCTTTCAATTTTTCAACCAAAACTAACTATTCCTATGGACAAAGGCAATATTGCCTATCTTCAGTCAAGTTCAAAAACTGCAAACAAGAAATAGTGAAAGAACCAAAGAAAAAATCAGAGGGATTATAGGGGACTAGGATCAGGTGTAGGATCACAAGGGCTTGCAGGAGGGATGAGATAGAAAGCTTTGAAGGCTATATCAATGTATAACTAAGTACCTACTAGAACCCCTTTTTACAAAGTACAAAGAGTTGATCTAATTCAGTTTCCATTGTTTGAGATGCTTCATGGCGTTACACGGCATACTCTGTATTTTAAAGTGGAGAGGAATCATAGTCGCAAAGTTGAATTGAAATATGGTTAAGTATCTTTAACTCTCTAACCTCATCTGATATATTCAAGTGGTGCATGATCTAGCAGCAGTTCACAATCCTGTATAAACAAATTCATGGTTCTTACTATGGATTTTGCTCTGTACCTCATTGTATAGGTGATCAAGTTGCTCTTTTGCTTGGGGAAAGTTATTGGAACACCATTGTCTCAAAGTGAAGATGTTATCTGTATAGCAAATGCACATGATCATTAAGAAAGAGACCCAATAATGGAAGTTACAAGGTAATAACTGGATAATGCAGGAATAGCCAAACCAGTCCATCTATTAGCTGCTGAATGGGCAACTTCGATTGCCTTCTCTGTCAAAAAGAAATTCACAAGTCAGGAAACACCACATAATAAAGAACAGCACATTGGTGCGTGCACAATGACTGCTGAATAATTAAAACCATTGTCCAGTAATACTATATTAAGCCTTAAAAGGATGCTCAAAGTTCCTTACTCATTGCTTCAAGAGTAGCAGGATCACTGTCTGCATACTGCGCCAACTCTTCCTGAATAACAAAATCATCAAAGTTCAGTTTTTTAGCATAAAAATGCTAACCCAGTATGACGATTAATTTCGTAAGTCCAAAAATATCAAAAAGTGTGCCTCAACCTTAAGTTCATTATGTTTCTGTTCAATAGCTTTCAGCTCATGCAATGCCTCTTCTCGTGCATCCTAGTAATGCCACAGAAGTGAAAAGCAGAAATAGTCCATCAGCTCAACTCATCCTTACAAAATTATATCAAGATTAATTTAGAGGACCATCTAGAAGTTGGTGTACTTACAGATTCTTCCCGTCCCTTTTTCAAAGCCTTGCATTGTTCAACAAGTTCAGCATGCCGCTTTTTATTGGTCTGGAGATCAGTCTCAAGCTTTCTAGTTACATTTCTCAGCTGTTGAATGAGAACCAAGTATGAAGCAGCTGAAAATGAAGATGACAAGCATGTGCAAAAGATTAATCCAACTACTTACCTGGTTCCCAGCACAACTTGGCAGGCTCCAAAAGTATACCTGGAATTTCGCAAGTCAGCTAACATAATTGAGGCTGTTTGAAGAAAATAAAAACTTCTGGAGGGTAAAAGGATGGTGCTATTATAGCACATAAAACATAGATGAACAACTTTATGCTTAGTAGCAGAGTATTAGAAGAATGATGCTGTTATAACACAATCCAGATATTACTCACAGAGGTCCCTATCTTGTCTTTAAACACAAGGTCATCGTCCACCAAAGATTGGATGACATCTTTCACTGACTGACTGATAACACCTTTCTTAGGACCCAACTTTTCAAGTTCCTTGAGCTGAAATAACAAAGGAGTTGAAAAATGTAATAATAATTAGATCATAACGCAGTAATAATTATACTACAAATAAATAAAGTGTGATACTATAAATAAATAAAGTGTGATTTGTCCTCCAGGCTCCAGCAGTAACTGGAAGATATATTTAACTTAATCCTGAAGGCAATAAGTGCACTGTTCCCGGATCAGATGTCAGAAATAACAGGTTGAAATTAGATAATTATACAGAGTTTGGTGGGTGAGGCAGGTTGAGACTCATTCTTGAATACATTAAACACAGATACCACAAGACGACCTGGTCTGTTCATTAAGGTAACTCCAGGAGAAGACAACTAAGAGAAGATGTGACTGTCGCTATATAACTATCTAACAAATTACATCTTGTTCTGAAATATCACAAGCCACGTCAGACAAGAACCTTCAGCTATTCCAAAACTTTTGAGCTCTCCGGTAAAACATCTAAAAGATCCCTCTGCTAAGTTTGGATAGCATAAATGCTGCTAAAGTTTTAACAAAGCCCTTAAAGTAGATACATTATCCATTATGTTACTTTCCGTTAAGTAATGTCACTGCTCTAGATATTCATGCATATCATACTAAATTACAGATACTACCAATGGATTTTCAAATGCTTTTTCTCACCATGGCATGCTTATCACCCACAGAAGAATGGCGGTGCAAAGCACGATAGATACAGAAAGAAAAGTCACACAATAGTTACAGAAAGAATAGTCAGGATGATGTTATATTTCTCCAGATATAGCGAATTTCATGATATAACCGGTTTCTGAAAAGATCAGTAGCACAAATTGAGTAAAAAAACAAATACAACTTAGGAATTAGTCATTTCCCACAAGTGATGTGGGTCCGAAGGACGTGCAACAATACTAAAACCACTAGTTGAATTAAATGGCATTGATCTCCATTGTAATTATGCATGATCTTATAGCAAAAATAAAAAGCTCCACTTCTTTTGGAACCCAAAATAACGACTAGTATACTTACGAGGAAGAAATCTTGTGAATCATAAAAGATCTGCAGCATTTTCTCTCGTTTCTCATCCAATGAAAGACCTCTTTTCTTCGACTGTTCACAAGAAAGAAATCAGGAGTTGGATACTGAAAATCACAGAACTCATATGCATCTGTGCTACATACTTCAATCAAAGTTGCTGTTATATAATTTAGAGTTCATAGCAGACTTCCAGACCTACAGGATTGCACTTGTATGCTCCAACGCCAAAGTATGACATCCATGGAAATTAGTGAAAGGGCATTAATATAATTTTTTAGCTATATACAGAGCAACATCGGCATAATAAAGTTCCTCAATGTGGAACATTTTTTCTCCTTTTTATATAATTACTTGCAGAAACCACAATTATACTTTTGCTTTTTTTTTTATGACCGAGAAATTTGTCTGGGCCAACCCTTAGGACCAACCGCACCATTTGAAACTCGCGGATAATGGACCTGCCCCTCTACCCTTCTCCACTTAAATACCATGCTTAGTTCGCATGGCACAGGGCCCGAACGTGTAACCAAAGTCACAAGTCCCTCAACCTTTACCACTTGAACTGAGCCTCAGGGGCCACAGCTATACACATTTCAGTTAAGACGAGGAAAAAAATAGATTACATAAAAAATTAAGAAGAAATTAAAAAGGAAACAAATCCACACATCCATCTAATAATTACGATTCAAAACATCAGGGGCCCGAGAAAGGTATTGAATTATAAGATAACTAAGCCTCATGTTATATGAATCAGATAACGAAGAGAACGGACTAATTGAGGCTACAAAAGCACCTCCTACACTGGATATAAGGTGAAAGAATTGTAATACACACACACACTTAGATACACACACATTTGTATTCAGAAATGGTGTTAAACTGCAATGCGCAAAAAAGTTTAACAAAATAAAATACATCTATTACTGAAAAAGATCCATCACAAAATCTGAAACTTTTGCAATGGAACCAATAAATCTCATTTCAGGATTCGAATATAGTGAAAAATTAGATTCAGTGATGTATTTACACTCGTGCTAACTGCAAACACACAGCTATACATATTGCAGTTAAGACGAAGAGCAAAAAAAGATTACATAAAAGTTGAAGACTGAGTAAAAAAGAAACAAGTCACACAGCCACCTCACCGATTACAATTCAAAACATCAGCAGCACAAGACAGATTGAATTATAAGACAACTAGCCTCATCTTATATGGTTCAGATAATGAAGAAAGCAGACTAATTGCAGCAACTGAAGCACACTTCCCACACTGAATCTAATGCATCAAAACAAAGGCACAAACACTTATGTGTGTGTATTAAAAAATGGTGTTACACTGCCATGTTTACCTTAGTCGGAGCGCAAAAAAATAAAAATAAATTGAGGATACAGAAGCACACGAGAAAGTATATATATGTGTGTGTATATATACACACCCCTAAATACAAACACACATTTGTGTATTCAAAATATGATGTTGAACTGCGATATTTACCTTAATCAGAGCGAAGAAAAAAAAGTGTACAAAAAAATTACATCAATTACCGTTCAGCAAATTATCTGAAAAATGTGATGGAACCGGTAAATTTCATTTAAGGATTTCGATACCATGAGAATTAGATTCAGCAACGTATTTACACTTGTGCAAAGCCGCAAACACACACAGCTATACATATTTCAGTTAAGACGAAGAGCAAAAAAAGGATTACATAACTTAATCAGAACGCAAAAAAGTTCTAACAAAAATAAAATACATTTATTACCAAAATCGTTCTGCCACAACCAGTGAATTTTATTTTAGGATTTCGATAACGTGAAAATCAGATTCAGCAACGTATTTACGCTCGCACAAAGCCGCAAAGACAGACTAATTGAGGCTACAAAATCACTTCATACACTGAATTTAACTGTGTGCAGACACACACACATATATACAAACACATATGCGTGTGTATTTAAAAATGATGTTAAGCTGCGGTAATTACCTTAATTGGAGCAGAAAAAAATTAGAAAATTACATCTATTATTCTTTCTCAAAAGTAAAAATTACATCTATTACCAAAATTTTCATTTTATGATTTCGATACACTGAAAATTAGATTCAGCAACGTATTTAAACTCGCACAAAGCCGCAAACACAGACTAATTGAGGCTACAAAAGCACTTCCTTCACTGAATTTAATGCGTGAATTATCACATATGCGTGCGTATTTAAAATGATATTAAGCTGTGATAAATACCTTAATCGGAGCACAAAATAATCAGAAAAGTACATCTATTACAGAAATTTCATTTCAGGATTTCGATACCGTGTACAAATGGATTCAGCTATAGTATTTACGCTAGAGCAAAGCCGCAAATCACAACAGATTGTACGGAAATTGATAAGCTAGGGTTTAGAGAATGTAGAAATGCTTACCATCTGGAATTAGCGATATCGGCAATTGACTTTGTTTGCAAGAAGCTGAACGGAGCTGATAGTGATTCGAAACTGTGAATGAAGCTTTTTGAAGATTTTGAAAATGCTTGATTTTGGCGGGAATGTTCTTTAGCCTCACTGCTCTACCGCTATATTTGGTACTGGAAAAATATTTATAAAGGCTGGTTCATTTGGTATTGTAAGGGCTCGTTTGGTACGAGGACAAGGGGTAACTAAATTCTGAATTAAATTTAAGATGAGTTTATTATATATTTGGTTGGGATAAAATCGTGATATAACTAATTTCGGGCGAACTAGTTATTCAAAGATTGTAGTATTTTTTTATCCCCATAAAAGGGTGAGATCTAATTCCGAGATAATTAATAATGGGATAACTTATTTCTCAGCCAAACGACCCCTAATACTGGAGAAAGATGCACAAATGAAAAAGGGCTAAAAAAAGGACGAAGTAATTTCATATATAAAAAAGAGCGGTACGCTTTACACGAATCCAATATCAAACAACTAAGTGGTCGTTTGGTATGAGGTATAAGAAGGTATAGTGCTGGTATAAAAATTTAATACCATATTAATATTTTGTTTGGTTAGCAAACCTGGTATAAGTTATCCCGAAACTAAAATTAGTATCGGGATAACTTATACATTGTAGAGGGTGGGGTAATTAGTGTCGGAATAACTTATACCTTCATCTTAGAAATTATGCAATTATTATTTTTAATACAACATACCAAACAGTGGATAAAAAACAATATCAGGATAACTAATCTAAGCATAACTAATCCTAACATAACTTATCTCGGTATAAACCGTATTCAAACCAAACGACCTCTAAAGAGGAAATTAGTCGTGTAATACTCAATAGGATCTTTATACAAATAGTTGTTAGAATTTATTATCTATTTTTTCTAGCCGTTATACATTAATTTTATACACATTATACATAAATTCGTTAGAACAGCTAGATAAAAACATTTTTTGGTGATTGAAGTTGGCTAGTTTTAAACTAGTAACCAAAGACTTGGAAAACTAGATGTGATGCTAATTGGACTAAATAGTTCCATTAAATTTATGCTGTTGCACTATTTCGGGACAAGAAAATTAAAAAAAAAGTAAAAAGTGTAAATATTATATGCTAATAATATTAAAAAGTATAAAATTCGTCAAACAAAACCAAACAGTTACATAAAAACCTTTTTAAATTTTGACAAACTGCTGTAATGACTAATTCCAAACTGCTGATCTGGTTAGATCCTTAATTAGATGAGATTTCAAAGTAATTGAATGATACAGATTTTAAGCAGTTGTTTTCTTTGTAATGCGTAGACCTCTGAATATAAAATATTTGTTGAAAATTTACACTCTTGTTTGTCGGCTTGGTTGTAGTCTAACATCGACAAGAGAGGAGAAAACACATTGAACGATGAATAATTGTAAATTCTTAAGTTTTATGATTTTGATGGATAAGTATTGATTATTGGACATTCAAACTTTGTTTAAACAAATAACAAGTGGCCTCTTGAGTCTCTATTGACCTTAAACTTAATTAGCACGTATCTTATTTCATAAAACAACAAATCATAAATGCACGGAGTACAAAAAAATAAGGGGG